AAAATTTTGAGACTCTGGGACGGAGAGTTCTTCCGTATCCACGTTATAGCCCTGACCTCGTGCCAAATAATGCCCTTCTGCTCCCCTCTCCAAACCATCTCCTAGAGAAGAAAGCTCATCCTAACTATGATGATGTCAAAATCGACATCTGATCTTTCTTCGATCAGAATTCAGTAGAGTCCTACAAGGGAGGCATCGAGCAGCTACTAGTGTGTTGGCAATAGGTTGTAGATATTGATGGAGGGTAGCATGCTGGATGAATGGAACAAAAAGATAATGAAAATATTAAATTCAAAATTCGGCCAGTTTGTTGCAAGACTTATGGACCGACCTAATAGTTACGATATGATTGAACTATCCCTGAGTCTCTGTGGTATATGTGTTCTCTTATTTTCATTTTTTTTTCGCTGTTGAGAACTCCTTTCTTGTAATCGATGAGCTTTCGCTGTTATAACAACTTCGTCAGCTCTATAACAAGCTCATAAGGAAATCACGATCACAGCTGTGCTACGTTTGCTCATCTTAACAAATGCTAACTAACCAGGTCGTTACTTCAGACTTGTAAGTGATGTTTGTCATGATAATACCCAGGAAGTTTCGAAAAACGGTGTTACGAATGCTGCATAACAGCCATTATGGCAGGAACCGTATGATAAGTTTGGCTCGACGGAAGATTTGGTATCCTGGGACAGATAGGGAAATAGCTCAGGTAGCTCGGACAAAACGTGTGCGGTATTTGGCAACGACCCAGCAAAAACATTGCTGCACTTGTGGGAAGAACCAGCCAAACCATGGCAAAGATTGCATATTGATTTTTGCCAAACCCAAGGAGGAGAAAAATGGCTGGTAATGGTTGACGCCAAGTCTAAATGGCCAGAAGTAGTGCGCATGGGTGTGACCACGGCGGAACACACGATAGAAAAGCTTAGAATGATTTTTGCGTACCATGGGCTACCAGAGCAAATTGTCTCTGATAATGGGCCACCCTTTTCATCGATGAAGTTCAAAGAATTTTGTAAGGGAAGGAACATTGAACTAACATTAACACGTTGACGACGAGCGATTTTTTCCTTGTCGCGCGCATGGGACGAGGCGTTTTTTGCATGCAAAGCGCCGGTAACACAGGGCAAAACTTATTTTGTAGCTCTGTAAAATCTCGAAATGCACAAAATGCCTTTGACTAGAGTACTCCAGACACGTTTAGAAACAAGGAAAAGTTGTTACTACTGAATGCTGGGTGAAATTTCAGTGACATCGCCTGGCATTTTCAAACCTCAGGTTAGAATAGGTTCTGAAGGCGCAATTTCACGCATTCTTCATTTTTATTATTAATATGAGCTTTCCTTTAGATGGTACTGGTATCCTGATCACATCTGAAATCTTCTACGAATTTTTCACTCAAGAATGACGCAAAAAACTTTGCGTACCTGACGGAATGAGCTTTTGTTTGACTGTTATCTTGTTCTTCATGATCGAATAAGAGATTTAAACGAGTCATTTCAAGGTCAAAAAATTGTTTGTGAAATATTTGGCAGTTGATGGACTGGATAGGTACTTTTGTCCTGCCTATGAGTAAGACTGAGCCTACTTGACCATCATGGGAACCTAAGGCTAGAAATGGACATTCTACTGACGGTGACCTAATTAGTAAAGGTCGATATGAACAATTTTAGTGAGATTTCCAGTTTGCTGACGGTGGGAACTTTGTGGTTGTGATTCAATTGACAGCGCGTTTCTGCCACTGATAACTAATTCAGAATAAAAACTCCCAGGAATTAGAAAGATCATAATTCGCAGACAAGTGTAGTAAGTTAGGACACTGAAGTAAACGTTGAAATAGAAAAGTCGCGGGTTCCATCTAAGTTTGCTTACTTTCAAGCTGTCGGTCACCATTGACCGACATCGTCGCCAACGTGTTAATCTCGCCTTTCCACCCAAATTCTAACGGAGAGGCGGAAAGATTTGTCCAAACTTTTAAAAAGGGATGGTATAAAGGATTGCGTGATGGGAAGAAGCCAGGAAATATACTAGCGGGATTGCTTTTCGAATATAGAGTTACCCCTCATCCAGCCACAGGGAAATCGCCGGCCGAAATTCTGATGGGAAGAGAGTTGAGGACAACATTGGATGTGTATAAGACAAAGGGAAAAGCATTGAGTAATCGTAGCTACAGGGAGCGAATGGTGGCTGATCACGTTAGAAGAGGTAGAGTAGAAAGGCGTTTCGTAGTTGGGCAACAGGTATATATCCGCAACTATCAAAAAGGAGATAAGTGGATTCCAGGAATTATTACGCAGGTAGTGGGCAGGCGAGTGTACGAGGTTCACTTCGGAACAGGAAGCCGGAAGGCGCACGCTGATCAATTAAAAGAGAGGATAACGTCAGAGGATGATTACGCATTGATGACTGGTAGAAGGATTCCCGTACAAGAGCAAGTCTTACCGCTAAGGCGATCTAGTCGAACACGTAAACCCACGGTTCGGATGAGAACTTACGTGGAAGAGAGGGAGAAACCTGTTAGAACAAGAGGCAGCGTAAAGGTGGTGGACGTGGCAAGCCACGTGGATGGCAAGGGTATAAAACGGGTAAACGTGTAAATGCCTCATTTATGTGGACGTACGTACCAACTACCCATCCTATCCCGCGCCGCCGCCACCACCTCCGCCGACTACGCCCTCGGCGCAAATGGCCACGCTACCGAGTCCGCCAATTGTGATTCAAGTGACCAGTCGACGTAGGGACAGGGAGTGCCAGCGGTGGCAGCAGAAGGAGGCGCTCGCGGCACCAACCCGCCATTTCGGGGCGTCGGTGCGTATCGTGGAAGGGGAGTACGCCGCCCGCGCAGGGAACGCCGAGTTGCGTTGAGAAAGGAGCTCAGCGAGGTACGTCTGATGTGTGCCCAGCTCATGGCCAGGCTCGACGAGACGACGCAGCCTCGCCCTAGGAGAGAGGAGGAAGAGCGCCAAGGGAATAATTAATGAAATGTGTTGAATTTTGATTGTAAAAAAAAGTGGAGAATAAAAGTGTTTGTGAAGTCTTGAAACTTCAGATGAGCGCAAAAGAGTTCCCCGGCGGGGGTGCACAGTTATGGTAACTGATAATGTAACAAGTGACTTCGTCACTTGGGTCACTTGGGGGGAGATGTAGGGGGTGAAGCGATCGATTCAGGTAATGGACTGCTGCGATCAAGAAGCAGTGATGGAATGAAGGATAAGGAGAAGATGAAGTAATCAACAATAACAGCACTATATAAACCCCCCTGTGGTTGGTAATAAACAGTTCTACACCACTGTCGTCTACATCGCGAGCGTCATGCAAGGGATTGGCAGCGCAAGCAGAGTTATTCTGAAGTCAGCACTGTCGAAGACAGTAAACTACTTTGCTACAGAGCGGTCGCCAATCAACGAAAAGTCGTCAGCAGTGATCTGTAAGTGATTTCTCCCCACTTTCTTCGCTATTTGGGGTGCGGCCGGAATAGATTGCGTTTGACGAGTTAATACTGTTACCTACGCTTAGTTTTATTAGTCGATGGAGAAACAATATGAGATCCTGTATGAGATGAATTTTGAAATTGCTCTATGCCACTGCCTACTTCCAACTCCTCACTTTCGTATCCTATGCGCTTAGCTCCCCAAGTATGATTAGTTATGTCTTACTCATAGGTGGTTTCCCGTTTCTATCCATTTTGATGCTTTTTTTCATCATTTGGTAATACGAAACGACTGCTTTTCTTAACGATCCATTTAACCCATAACGGACGGCGTGCGCCACAAGGTGGCGCACGACTATTTCTTTTGTTTTTGGAATGTTTCTAGCAATCTTAATATACCCATATATACTCTCAGCAATGTGGAATAACATATCTTCCCAGGACCTGGACGGCTGGATTTTTGACAAACCTACAATAAATTTTGTTTTAATTTACATAAGTTTATTATTTGATGGGTGGCTTACCCATGGTTCGCACGTCCCGAGACCCCTTCCCCTAAATATAGCCACATCCTTGCTCGGGGTTGTTGTTTCGCATTTTTCGATAATGTCACCTACAGCTTCCATTCATTCTTTGCACCCTAGTTTTAGAGCGGAAAGGCGGGCTACGAACTTGTCGTCAACGGAAATCTCTTTTTTCGGATGATGAGACTCCGACACCTACTTTAGCCCCGTCTTACCCCTGCTGTTCACATAAGCCTACATAAACCCTACCCTGGGTGGCGGCGTGCGCCACATGGTGGCGCACGCGAAAAATACACTGGCCGTCCGTTATGGGTTAAACTTTACGGACCCCCTTTCATCTCGCGCTATGGGTGAACTGCTTCCAATGCGCCCCAATATACCCATATGCTACCTGACAGCAGGTATTTCCAACAGCACAGTACTCTTCAAACTGACCGAAAAAAGCGAAATGCTTTTTCTATCCTATGTAAACATGATGCGTAGTGAAGAGGTGCGCATGAGTTTGTATATTGCATAAGATGCATGCACACTTTTTTTTGTGCAGGAATTCTAGTTTCTACAGAGTGAAACATGGTCCCTGTTTTTTACAGAATTTTCCCTTTATTCGTAGCGCTGAACCAGTATTAGCAGCCGCAGTCACAGCCACGGACCCATGAACCATTGCGTCTTGTGGGCAGACAGCAACGACGTCGCCGATGATCTGCTGCATAACCACTTCACGCTTCGAAGAAGCGCAACTCTTAAGATTATATATGTTTCCCGTGAAAGAATAATGTGCTCCAGCAAGAACAGTGCGCGCCGCGGGGGGGGGGTGGCGGGGGGGGGGGGGGGGGGGGGGGGCAGTGTTGGGGGGGGCGTCTCGTCCCCTTATCTATCGTTGGGGAATTCCCCAACGGGTGGGAGCGCTAGAGTATAAGTCGACGCGGCCGCACTGTTCTGTCTGGAGCACATTATTCCGTACGGTGGGCGAGGCCTCTCCCCGGATGAGCTCCAGGGAGGAATAGCACCACACGACTTAGGGGACGCGTCCTCTTTCCGGAAAGCATACGGCCCCATGAGTTCATCTCTACTATTCATCTCCAGAGACAGTCGCTTGATAGCTAGTGCCTCCAGCATCTTCTTTTCCACCAAGGCCTCCTTCGAGCGGTGCAGTACAGTAACTTTGATCGATGGGGCGATTTGCCGATAGGAAAGTGTACGATGATGTGAAAATCCGCTCTTCGATAACGCGATAGGTTTTTTAATGCTCGCACATGTTCATCAAGTCTTTCATGTGGCTGTGCCAACCACCATACTATTAGGTACCGGATATCTTAATGTCGTTTTTCTGAGTTCAGGAAGTTTCGGGGCCGATTACCATGGAAAATCAATTTCTCAGAACGTTCTTTTTGCTTATTAATACTACGTAACATGTTGCTTATTAGTCCCTATTGTTACTTTACAATTTATCTCTCCCCCAATTTTTATACCTTTTTCTGAAAATTCCTGGGTTCATTGCGCAAATTCGTATGTGTGTACCAAATGCCATCAAAGTCGGGTTGGGAGCTACAGATCCGCCATCCAAACTAACATTGCTAGAGGGAATACTACCGT